GTAAATTAGAAATTAAAATTATTGGACCAACTAAAAACATGATATACGGAAAAAATCTAGCGGCTGGTGCGGCATGCCTGATGAGTCCCAGGGCTACTCGGGAGGGCTGAGGCAGGTAACGCGTTGAGCCAGGAGTTGAGGTTGTGTGAGCGAGGCTGAACGCCACGGCATCTCCTCAGCCTGGGCAACAAAGAGCTCTGTCTCAAAAAAAGAAAATGCAAAGGTAAATCTTGCATCCGCTCTTGGGCTCTGGGTCAGACTACAGTGCTGAGCTCTTCCGTCACATTACTCATTTCATCCATGCGCTCAATCTTACCACCCTAGTCGGCAGAGAGTGAAACACCACACACACGTCTCAAGGGGCCGACCCACACTCCCTCCCCTCCCCCACCTCTGGAATTCCGTCTTGGTTGTTGCCCCCTGGTCGCCACGGTGACGGGCACTCTCAGTTCACTCGCTCTCCTGACCAGGGGAGAGTCGTGTGTGTGGTTGGAGGGGTCCCCGTCCCCCCGCGTGGAGGTCCCGGGCCAGTCCCGGGCACCAGGCAGGGGCCATGCCCGTGTTGGCAGCCCCGGCTGAGCAGAGCCATGACACTCGCATCGGGGCCCCGGCCTGGCGCGAGGCCACGTGGGCCCAAACGCGGAAGGCGCAGCAGGTGACGGAGCGCTGCGGGCGGGAGGCGGTGGCCATGTGGCAGCCCGAGGAGAGCGTGGGGGACCCGAACGTGGCGCACCACCTGTGCCGCGCCGCGCACATCCAGCCCTGGCGCTTCCGCGTGGAGATGCTGCGCGGCGGCGGCCACGTGGAGAAGCCGCCGCCCGGCGAGGGCGTCACGCTGTGGAAGTGCAAGATGAAGCCGCCCGCCTGGCACGCCCGCCTGCCGCTGCCCCTGCACCGCGACGCGCGCGCCCAGCAGACGGCCGAGGTGGTGCTCGCGCACGCGCGCGGCGCGCGCCTCGTCGCCGCGCGCCTGGGCCGCGCGCAGCACCAGATCAACGGGCAGGTGTGGCAGCTGCAGCGCCGGCGCGAGGCCACCGACCGCAGGCTCAGCGAGGTGCGCAAGGGCCTGCTCGTCAACCAGCAGAGCGTGAAGCTGCGGGACTACAGGCCCAAGTCCGAGAAGGTGGGGTCCCCCCCGCCCCGGCCCCCGGCCCCCAAGCCCAGTCGCGAAGACTGAGGTGTCCGCCACCGCGCGTTCGCCTGGGAGCACCCTTCCCGCGAGCGGGCACACCTCTCGGGCCCCAGCTCCGCTGAATAGAGGCACGAGAAAGGAGGGCACCCCAGGATGAGGGACACACCCCCAAGTCCCGGAGGGCGAGACCCGCCAAAGAGGACAGGACCTGCACTCCCCCCAGCAGAGGGGGAGCCGTCCCAATCTGCCAGCCAGGGAGAGAGGGCGGGACTCTAAGTCAGGCTCTGTGAACATCTTCCCAAAGAGCAAAACCCACCCAGCTGCCAGGTGCACAGCGTGAGACCCTCAACGCTCTGATCCAACTCCCAGCCGAGGGGACTACCGTGTTTCCCGGAAAATAAGACCTACCCACAAAATAAGCGCTAGCAGGATTTGTAAGCATTTGCAATAGAAGCCCCACCCCGAAAATAAGACCTAGTGAGGGGCGTGGCTGCCCAGCGCGTCTGCACAGCCCGTGCATGTCGTTGCGGAAGGGGAAAGAACACGAGCAGCCCTTCTCATCTGCCCCATGAGAGCTCTAGTGCTCGACATGAGAGATTGGGGCCAGTGGTTCTAAAGGAAATAGAGTGGCAAGAAATTTAGGATGGAATTCAGGGTTTGGAGAGTGAGGATGATGTTCCAGAAGAAGACGACTTAACTCTATTTGAATAAATGTAGATTGCTGTACCATACTTAAAAAAAAAAATAACACATACCCTGAAAATAAGCCCTAGGGTGTCTTCTTGAGGAAAAATAAACATAAGACCCTGTCTTATTTTGGGGGGAAACACGGTAGTTGATGCCCCAGTCCCAACCAAGGTGAAACCCTCCAAAGTGTGAAATAAAACCCAACTCTCTAGCCTCAGGAAGTGAGAATCCTCCCCAGGCCCCTTCTGAGATAAAAGAAGCCCTGCCTGCAGACTGAGACCTCAGACTCCCACACCTTGAGCCTGAGAGTTGGGCCCCTGGCCACAGAGAAAGTGTGAGACCCCCTACTCCCAGTCCCCATGAAATCCCCTTCCGAGAATGAACCCCAAAGGTGGGGAACATTCCAGCCGCCCTGGGGAGGGATGGGGTCCCAGTGGGCGGGTTTCCTACTCCCAGCCCGGAGGTCCAAAGAGCAAGACACACCCTAAAAGGCAAACCCTCATCGTCCCTGTGATGAGACCCTCCACCTCTAGCTAGGGGGAGGGGACAAGGCCATCACAGCCCCAGCCTCGGGGAGTGAGAACAACTCCCCCCACCCAAGTGGAGGCGCCTCCTGCCCAGTCCCCTGGGTTCTTATTGGTAAAAGGGAGAAACCCCCAACCTCAGACTCCAGAGGGTAAGTCACCCCCCCACCCCCAAGTGAGAGCCCCCTGGAAGGACCGAGCCTTCTCAGAGCGTGAGAGCCCCCAAAGGATTAGCGTACCCCCAGCTTCACCCTCCAGACCCGGAGTGTATGAGGCTGGCAAACCCTCTACTACCCTGAAAAGGGAAATCTCTCTCCAGCCCTGTCCCAGGGGTGAGAGAGACTCCCTCCTTGTTCCCCAGATCCCGGACAAAGCTGACAGTATGCTAACCTGGGAGAAAGAGGAGCTCAAGAACATGAAACGGAAAATGGAGGAAGACATGGAAAAATCAGAGGCCCTGCTCAAGGTTCGGAGTGCGAGGGCCGGAGGGGGAATCTGAAACCATCACCGCTGTCCATTTCCTGCACGTTTTCATCATCCCAAACAGACCCTTTGAGCTCCCTTGCTTTTTTTTCTCTCGCTGCTGCCGATGCTAACCGTGTCGAGTCACACTCGACATCCGAGTGCAAAGGGTCAACCCAGCACCCTGCGGTCCCAGGCACGGTGCTTGGCATTGGGGATAAGGTGTTTAGCAGGGTAGAGCTGAGCTGGCCCTTGCAGAGTTCACATTCCAGGGGCATTCAAAGAAAAGGGCCCAGCTGGGGAATGAGGTGGCATTTAGTGGGCTGGGGGGGGGGGACGGCGCTGTCCGTGGTGCTGAACTCCAAGAGCGAGCACTCCCCGGCCCACTGGCATATTATTCTTTTACATCTGGTGATTCCTGAGAAATCCTTCCAGGAAGTCTGAAACAAGCGTGGGGGAAAAAGCGTGACAGTGGGTGTGGGAGGCAAGGACTTGAAAGAGAAAAACGGAAGTAGGAAGGTGGGGAAAAGACAGGTATAGATAGAAAACAGGCTGCTGGAGAGGACCTGGGCTGGGCATTGCTGGAGAGCAATGCCCAGCACTGAGCAGCAGACTTGTTCGAATTTAAAATCATGAACTGGCCGGGCGCCGTGGCTCTCGCCTGTCATACCAGCACTCTGGGAGGCCGAGGCAGGCGGATCGCTCGAGGTCAGGAGTTCGAAACCAGCCTGAGCAAGAGCGAGACCCCCGCCCCCCATCTCTACTATAAATAGAAACAAATTAATTGGCCAACTAATATATATAGAAAAAATTAGCCGGGCATGGTGGCGCATGCCTGTAGTCCCAGCTACTGGGGAGGCTGAGGCAGGAGGATCGCTGGAGCCCGGGAGTCTGAGGTTGCTGTGACCGAGGCTGACGCCACGGCACTCACTCTAGCCCGGGCAACAAAGCGAGACTCTGTCTCAAAAAATAAAATAAAATAATAAAAACAAACCAATAAAAAGGAAGAAAAAACTTCTAAATCTATTTTTTAACCAAATGAGTAAATCCCAAAGATATATTCAGAGAAAGAAGCTAGATATATAGGGTGCACACTGTCTGATTCCATTTAAATGAAGTTCTAGATTCAGTGAGCTTTTTCTTAAAGGGCCAGACGCGCATACACACCACCAACTGATCAGCACTTAGGTTGATTCTATAGCTTTGCTATTGCGAATAGCGCTGAGAGAAGCATACGAGTGCAGATATCTTTCTGATACAATGATTTCTTTTTTGTGGGGTAGATACCCAGTATTGGAATTGCTGGGGTTGAATGGTAGATCTAATTTTAGTTCTTTGAGAAACCTCCATACTATTTTCCATAGAGGTTGTACTAATTTACATTCCCAGAAACAACGTATAAGTATTCCCTTTTCTCCATATCCTCACCGTCATCTAATGGCTTTGATTTTTTTTTTTTCGTGATGGCCATTCTGAATGGAGTAAGACGGTGTCTCATTGTGCTTTTAATTTGCATTTCTCTGATGATTAGTGATGTTGAGCACTTTTTCATATGTTTTTTTTGGCCATGTATATGTTGTCTTTTGGAAAAAATGTCTGTTCATGTCCCTTGCCCACTTTTTAATGAGGTTATTTGTATTATTTCTTGTTCAGTTCTTTGAGTTCCTTGTATATTCTGGATAATAGTCCTTTGTCGGGTGCATAGTTTGTGAATATTTCTTCCCATTCTGTAGGTTGTCTGTTTACTCTGTTGAATATTTCTTTTGCTGTACAGAAGTTTTTAAGTTTAAGTCCCATTTGTGTTTGTTTGTTTTTGTTGCATTTGCTTTTAGGATCTTAGTCATAAATTTTTTGCCTAGGCCAATGTCCAACAGAGATTTTCCTAGGTTTTCTTCTAGAATTTTTATAGTTTCAGGTCTTGCATGTAAGCCTTTAATCCATCTTGAGTTAATTTTTGTATATGGTGAGACAAGGATTCAATTTCATTCTTCTGCATATGGCTATCCAATTTTCCCAGCACTATTTATTGACTATGGTGTCCTTTCTCCAGTGTATGTTTTTGTCTGCTTTGTCAAAGATCAGTTGGTTGTAGGTATATGGCTTTATTTCTGGGTTCTCTACTGTGTTCCACTGATCCATGTGTTTGTTTTTATACCTGTATCATGCTGTTTTGCTTACTGTAGCCTTGCAATATAATTTGAAGTCAGGCAATGTATGTCTCCAGCTTTTTCTTTTTGCTTAGGATTACTTTGGCTATTTGGGCTCTTTTTTTTTTTTGGTTCTATATGAATTTGGGGATTGCTTTATCTAATTCTCTAAGAAATTACATCGGCATTTAGATAGGAATTGCATTGACTCTGTAGATTGCTTTGAGCGATACTTCGCCTAATTGCACGGGAATACTATTCAGCCATTAAAAAGAAGGAAATCACGTCTTTTGCAGCAACATGAATGGAACTGGAGGCCATTGTTTTAAGTGAAATAGTGCATGTTGTCACTTATAAGTGGGAGCTAAATATTGAGTACACATGGACATAGAGAATGGATTAATAGACATTGGAGACTTAGAAAGGTGGCAGAGGGTTACACAAAAAGTCCAGACTTCACCACTATGCAATATATCCGTGTAACAAATCTACACAGGCACCCCCACACATCAGTAAAGAGAAAAATTTTAAAGAAAAAATAAATTTTAAAATTCTTTTTTTAGAAAATGGGAACTGGGTGAGGTGATGGATATGTTAGTTTGGTTGTGATTATTTCACATTGTATTCATATATCAGAACATCAAGTTGTATACTTCAAATATACACGATTTTTATTTGTCAACTGTACCTCAATAAAGCTGGGGGAAAACAAACTGGAAAAGAATAGATTTTTAAATGATTCCACTACAAAAATAACGATAAGTATGTTAAGTAATGGATATGTTAATTAGCTTGATCTCATCATTCCACACTGATAACATATATCAAAACATCACATTGTATAACATAAATACATACAATTATTATGTCATAGGCAACCTATGTAACCTAAACATTTGGACCCCCATAATATGCCGAGATAAAAAAAAAAAGAAAGAAAGAATTTAAATAGAAAATAAAGTGGACCCTGAAGTACCAAAGACACACACACACAAATCTTTTTTTCCTGAGAAATACACCTGTCATTCCTAAAAGACATTTCATGAAAGAAAATGATTCTCTGGAGTGTGAAAGAATAAATTCAATTTAAAAATACTTCCATAAGTAAAAGCCTTTTACCAGCATTAAAAAAAGGGGAGGGGGAGGCTCAGGTACGTCCCCTCCCTGTCCCCTTTCTGCGCCTCCTCCTCCTCTCGGCCCCTGGAGGGGGGGTCAGTCTGGAGGCAGAAATGCTTTGCAGCCTGGGGGGGGCTCAAGCCCCCAGCAGGGAAATCGCTTTCAGCCACCTCCCCTCCGCGTCCCAGCTCACACTCTGCCTTCTCCCTCCTCCCCTGCCCCCAGGCCCTGGCCTCCTGCCGCGACGCTCTGGCCTTGTGCTGCAAGGAGAGGCTGCAAGCCGTGGACCTCATGAACCAGCCGCTGGACAAGGTCCTAGAGCAGGCCGGCCGCCACTCGTGGGTGAACCTGTCCCGCGCCCCCACGCCTCGCACGCAGGGCCAGAAGACGCCGCCGCCAGACCCCGCGGGCCCCTATACCCCAGGTAGGCGCCGCCGGGAGGGGTCCACTACAGCGGGGCCCCGCCCAGACACCCTTGACATTTGGTGCCCCCCCCCCCCCCCCCCCCCGCCCCTCGCCCGCGCAGCTGCCTCCCTTCCCTGGGGGGTGGCCCTGGGCCCAATGGGAGGGCTGAGAGCCCGCCGGGAGCTGAGCCCGCCTTCTCGCCGGGCTGTCCCCACTCGGTCACTCGCAGGCTCTGCTTCTAAGGAAACCAACCCAAGGCGCTACTCGCACGGTCCCCCGGCTAACAGCCTCTCCTCTGGGCTTCCCCCCAGCCCCTCCATAAAGCCGCCTCGCGCGGGACCCCCGCCCACCGCCACCTGAGAATAGACTGGGGGGGCACAGACAGCCGGGACGGGGACAGGGAAGCTCGGCGAGCCCACGCGCGCCGGGTGCGTTCGCAGCGTGCGCCGCGGCGCTGAACGAAGCCAGACTGCTGCTGGTCGAGTCCAGGGACACCCTGGCGGACATGGCCAAGAACGAGGCGGAGGTCCGGGAGCAGCAGACGCAGATCAGCGACCGCGTGTGCACCTCGCTGGCGCAGAAGATGCGCGAGACCTCCGAGCTGAAGGTGGGCTCCGCGCGCCCGGGTGCGGGCGAGGGTGTGGGCGCGCCCGGGCGCGGGCCGGGCCGCGGGGAGCCCGCGCGAGCCCCCTGCGCTCCTCCGCCCCCAGGAAAGACTGAACATAAGCGTGGGGCTGATGAGGGGGACGATCCACCGGTGCACGAAATTCCAGCAGGAGATGTACACCACCCGCGGCCTCATCAAGGTGCGGTTTGGGGGGACGCGTCTATGGGGGGTGCGGGGTGGGGTGCGGACAAGGGTGCTCTGTAGGCTGGGCCTCACCGCTCCGCCCACCGCACTCCGCCAGGGTCCTCTGTCGAAAGCTCACCTAGAGACTCGAGAAAAGTTGGACAGACCCATGGTTCGCGTGTACCAGAGACACGTGGGCACCCAACTCCCCGAGGCCACGCGCCTAGCTCAGGTACGTCCCCTCCCTGTCCCTCTTCCGCGCCTCCTCGCCGGCTGTGGGCGCAGCCCCGCCCTGGTAAGTCTCCTTCCTCGAGCACGACTGGACCAGGTAAGACCCCCTCAGCCAGGTCTACCTGTCCTTCAGCCCTCGCCCACGAGGGGCCCTTCAGCGCCCACACCTGGCTCAAATAAGTCCCCTCAACCCCTGCGCCCCCCCCCCCCACACACACCCCCACACACACACACACGCGCCCTCTCCTTTGTCGTGCTCGGATTGCCCGGATACGTTCTCCCGCCCCAGGTCCGTGCCCCCAGCCCGCCCCGTCGCGGGGTCTTTTTCAAACACCCCCAGCCCACCCAGGTGGGGTCCCCGGCTCCCGCCCCGCCACAGGCCCGCCCCTCTTCCACTGTGGCCCCGCCGCGCGCGCGCACCTGGCGCAGGTGTGCCCGCCCGCCCCGCCGCGCGCGCCCCCTGCTCCGGCCCGCCGCTCTCCCAGCGCAGCCCCCCTGCCCCCCGCAGGGCACGGACAAACTGCAGCGCCACATCTCGCAAGGGGAGAGGAACCTGAACGAGCTGCTCACCATGCAGAAGAACCTCACCTGGAACTTCAAGTGCAAAAAGATGGGGTTCGATGTGGACCACAGCGTGGCGCGCCTGCGCCAGCGCCAGAGCCACCCGCACGTGTGCTACGAGCAGGCGCTGCGCCTGCTCCACGAGCGCGACCAGCGCGCGCAGCGCTGCCGCCCCGCGCGCGCCGCGCCCGCGAGTGACGGCGCGCCCCCCGCCCGGCCTGCCCGGCCCTCGGCCCTCGGGAAGCCGCCTCCCAGCGCAGCAGCGCCCCTAGCCCCGACCCGCCGCCTCGGACTCGCCCTCTAACGGAATTTTAATTAAAAATATTAATTATCCTTTATTAGGCACTTACTGTATGCGAATCACTTGCCCTACAAGTCACAGTGTGTCCTGGAAGCTCCCGGGATGGATCTGGGCGCCAGATTGCTGGGATTCCAATCCCAATTTCAAGCTGTGTGGCCTTGGGCAGGCCAGTGGCCCTCTCTGGCCTCAGTCTGTCCAATCTGTAAAATGAGAAGCATTCAAAACATCCCCGTCAGCCCGGCGCGGTGGCTCACGCCTGTAATCCCAGCACTCTGGGAGGCCGAGGCGGATTGCTCGAGGTCAGGAGTTCGAGACCAGCCTGAGGAGACCCATCTCTACTAAAAAATAGAAAGAATTAATTGACCAACTAAAAACATATATACAAAATTAGCGGCTGGTGGGCATGCTGTAGTCCCAGCTACTCGGGAGGCTGAGGCAGGAGGATCGCTTGAGCCCAGGAGATTGAGGTCGCTGTGAGCGAGGCTGACGCCACGGCACTCACTCTAGCCTAGGCAACAAAGTGAGACTCTGTCTTAAAAACAAACAAACAACAACAACAAAAAAATCCCTGTCTGTAGTAATAATCCCTGGCTGTAGTAATAAGATAGGCGAGCTCTTACGTGTGAGGCCGGTGGCTTGGTGGCTGCATATAGCACACCCCCAATGCGCACGAGCTGTTACGATTAGCATCTCCATTTTGCAGTTGGGGAAACTGAGGCACAGAGGGGTTTACGCAGCTTGCCCGAGGCCACACAGGCGGCAGGTGGCGAAGCCGGGGTTTTCATCCCTGACTCTAGAGCCTGCACTGTGAGCGGAACTCCTCAAAGCCCTGCTCCGTTCTCGCCCCGAGAAGTGCCGGGGTCCTGAGTCCAGCTGCTGAGCATGCAGCAGGGGTCAGGGGTGATGCAGTCCCTGCCCTGGGGAAAGTCGCAAGTTGATCCGGCGCAGCCAACGCAATGCCATCCTTTCCGGAGCAGCTCTGGCGAGGCCTCCTACGGGAAGCCCACCCTGATTGCATCCACCCGTGCCGTCATATAGCCCAGTTCCTCCTCCTGTATCCCTGCGGCCTCTCGGACACCCTGCTATCACAGGCCTCCTCGTGCCGAGCTGTGACTGTCTCCTGCTCTTCCCAGGATGACCCCAGGGCCTGGGCCTGCATAGAGAAGGGGTCTTCATTACAGCGGCAAATATCCCCTAAGCAATTGCTCTCCTCGGTGCCGGAGGCTCTGTGCGGTGCCAGGGACACGGTGAGGACGGGTCCCTCCCCCGTGGAGCTGCCAGCACACATGCCAAGAGTACGGGTACTTTTGGGCAAAGCCAGCCGGCCGTGTGGATGAAGTTCAGCAAGGTAAGCTCACTTTCCTAGGGCTGCACAGCCAGCCAGGGGCAAGGCGGGATTTGAATCTCTCTCGCTCCGCGCGGCAAGCAGGGGGACCGGGATCTTCATGGCTGCCCACGACAAGCAACTGGAGACCAGGTAAACCATGCCCATCAGAGAGAGAGAGACATGTACGGGGAGAAGCGAGCCACCCGCCCGGGCTTCCAGAGCTGGGGGAGAGCGCATGCAGGGCTCAAGCCGCGTGAGCGAGGACTCAGCTGTCGGGCATCTCTGCGGCTCCCTCATCTCAAGAAGGACCCTCGGGCCCGGGCGCGGGGCTCACGCCTGTCATCCCGGCACTCTGGGAGGCCGAGCCGGGCGGATCGCTCAAGGTCAGGAGTTTGAGACCAGCCTGAGCAAGAGCGAGACCCCGTCTCTACTATAAATAGAAAGAAATTAATTGGCCAACTAATATATATAGAAAAAATTAGCCGGGCATGGTGGCGCATGCCTGTGGTCCCAGCTACTCGGGAGGCTGAGGCAGGAGGATCGCTCGAGCCCAGGAGTCTGAGGTTGCTGTGAGCGAGGCTGCCGCCACGGCACTCACTCTAGCCCGGACAGCAGAGTGAGACTCTGTCTCAAAAAAAATAAAATAAAAAAGAAGGACCCTGTAGCCTGGGGCTGGGGGGGAGGGATGTGTCACAGACTTAGGAGGACACAAACGGTTCTTCCTAAAACACTTCCTCCCCGGCCGGGGAGGACACCAGCAGGAAGCTGTGGGCACGCCCGATCTGAAGGAAGTTTCATAAAGAGACCAGGGCGGATCCGCAACTATTCAAAGGTTCCGTCTTCGTGAGTTCGCTCGCTGAGCTGTATCGGCGGCTTCCAAATCCACGCTGGCCTTCGCCGCGGCCTGCAGCGTGCACAGAGCAGCGGACACGCGCAGCCACCTTCTGTGCGCGTCCCCGGCCGAGGTCAAACAAGCGTCAAACACGAGCGTCCTTGCTGCAGTCTACTTAGTGCTTTTTTTTTTTTTTGCATTTTTGCATTTTTATGCCTTTTTGCATTTTTTCGCATTTTTGCATTTTTTGTGGTTTCTGTTCATGATTTTGCTGCTTAAAACAGCCCCGGGGGTAGCGGCGTGAGCACGGGCTAGCTCCGCCTGCCTTCGGGAGAAAACGCCAACCGCGCAGCACGAGCCCCACTGAGGCCGGAGTGACGGCGCGGCCGGCCGTGAGCTCGTGCGATGGAATGTCCCGCGCATAGTAAGCAGGAATAAGGGGCCTGGAAATAGAGACACACAGAGTGAGGTCGCGTCTTGACATCGGTTGACAAGGATGTTGTGACCAGGGGCTCCCAGGCACCCGACCCCGCGTTTCCCTGGGGAGCTGCGGATTTGGTGTTCGCGTGTTTGCGGTGACCTTGTAGGCCACTAACAGCCGTCACTGATGGGAACAGGCTGTACCTGCAGGGGTGAGGGCAGGGGGCACTTGAGGGACGACGGTGCAGTGCCAAGGCCCCGGGAACCGCGGGCGGCCGTCACCACCCGTGGCGGTGAGGGGACACGGGGAGAGAGCCGTCAGCGGTTGGAAGCAGCCGGCCGGGTGTGGATGCCGGCGGATAAATGTCCCCCCCTGCCTCCCTGTCCCCGGGCCAGTGTCACCTTGCTGGCCTCTGAGCCTCTTCTTGCAAGTCCCTCCCGGGGCTGGGGCTTGTTCCTTTGCCCACGCCTCCGCCCACCCTGCTGCCCGGAATCCTTGCAGAGAAGGGCAGACACGCCCCGCGCCAGCAGTGCCCGGCCCGGGGTCGGCGCCCGGCCGCGCTCAGCCCTGCGGACACAGCCCCGTCCCTCGCCGAGCTCACACGACGTTCTCCGGGAGCGTCCGCACCATGCCCTGGCCCCGCTGCCTCAGAGCCGCCATTCCAGCCGCTGCCCCGCGTGCGCTGGATCCCGGGCGCCCGGCAAGCCTCTCAGCGACGCCGCCCCTGCCTTGGAGGCGAAGAACTGGGCGTGCAGCGCTGGCAAGATCTGTAAATGGGCCGGCGCCGCGGCTCCCGCCTGTCATCCCCGCACTCTGGGAGACCCAGGCAGGAGGATCGCTCGAGGTCAGGAGTTCTAAACCAGCCTGAGCAAGAGCGAGACCCCGTCTCTACCATAGATAGAAAGAAATTAATTGGCCAACTAAAAATATATAGAAAAAATTAGCCGGGCGTGGTGGCGCATGCCTGTAGTCCCAGCTACTGGGGAGGCTGAGGCAGGAGGATCGCTTGAGCCCGGGAGTTGCTGTGAGCGAGGCTGACACCATGAGGCAGGAGGATCGCTGGAGCCCAGGAGTCGGAGGTTGCTGTGAGCGAGGCTGACGCCACGGCACTCACTCTAGCCCGGGCGACAGAGCGACACTCTGTCTCAAAAAAAAAAAAAAAAGAAGAAATGAATCAGAACAAAAAAATAGGAACAGAATAACACATATACTATGCACATTATGTTATATAATTATATCATCAATATTAAGATTAAAGTTATGTAAAAGAAAAATCCAGCCTGAATTATATTCATCTTTATAACCAACGCAAGGTTTTCTTTCCATTATTTTTTTTTTTGAAAAAAAAAATAAACCATGCCCGGCCCAAAACTTTTCTTAAGCCTCTGTTTTATCTGTGCAGTTATTTGCACAGTCGCTGTGAGGAGCCGAGTTCCCATGCTTAAAGTGCTCTGAAGGCATGAAGAACCCCCTTAATCCTGTGACTCAGGTAAGCGAAGGTCAAGGTAAAAGAATCCCTGCGGTACCCGAAATATAGGTATCCTGAGTTACTGATTGGCAGCTTCCGTGTATGCTTTGAAAAGAAACATGTGGCCCAGCGCCGAGGCTCACGCCTGTCATCCCAGCACTCTGGGAGACCCAGGCAGGAGGATCGCTCAAGGTCAGGAGTTCAAAACCAGCCTGAGCAAGAACGAGACCCCGTCTCTACCATAGATAGAAAGAAATTAATTGGCCAACTAAAAATATATAGAAAAAATTAGCCGGGCGTGGTGGCGCATGCCTGTAGTCCCAGCTACTGGGGAGGCTGAGGCAGGAGGATCGCTTGAGCCCGGGAGTTGCTGTGAGCGAGGCTGACACCACACCAATCTAGCCCAGGCAACAGAGTGAGACTCTGT